CACTTTATTGTCCTAATTTGCTTTCAAAACCATGTTTCACGTCTAAGGCCAATACTCGCCATTCTGTTCTGTGTATCTTCAACACATAGAATCAAAAGCTTTTTCTTTCCTGTAACAATATCCTCTGGCTTTTTCTCTATCTCCTCACTAGGGAGCGTAACTATGTTCGTAGACAGGTAAGTGAGTACCTGCCCTCCAAGCCCTGAAGCCTCGACGTTGAGCAATTAGAAATTTTGGGGTTTTTAAGTAAACATGACCAGCATTTTTTGCTTCATTCTGTGACACCCCCTCAGTTAAATCAGTTTTTCCTGCTGCTAGGACCATTCTTGGCATTTTTTTATGCCAGTGACTGTGCTGTGTTTCTTCTTGGTATTTACAAGAAACCACTGGGACACCTTGGTATATCATCTTTGGGGAAAGGACAGCAGCAGCAAGAAACCCAGTTCTCACAGCAGAGCGGTGCTGTCGCTGAAAAGGATGAAGGCCGCCTGCGCAAGGCAGGGCTTTCCAAGCAATTGTGCAAGGCTGTAAAAGAGACTCCCCGAGAACATCCCCTCACACCTGAGACAGACAGATCTGATTTGGAGGGAAACGGCCCTGCGGGTGGAAGGGAAATCCTCTTCACAGAGCGTTCCAAATGAGGAGAATCGGCCCGCCTCTGGGGGTCTCAGCCAAATACACAGCCTGTGACTAATGATTTTGTGCAGCCCTCCACCAGAAAAAAAAGAACTTCCATCTTCCAAGTGCAGGACGCACTCCTTTCATCAAGCTTTTTGCTGCGTGCACATTCAGATTTTAAAACAGATTAAAAATTCCAATCGATTTCCTACCACTGAGAAGAAAAAAAGATGGTAGTTGCATCGCAACTGACATAATGACGCAGTGTAGAGAAATGCAGCCCGGGCAGGGCAGCAGAGGCCTTGAGAAGTGGGGGCTCAGGAGGCAGCAGAGGAGCACAGGTGTGGGATGAGGAGGGATGGGGCACGTCCCTGGCCCCGGAGACCCCATGGCTACAAATGACTCACCGTCAGTCAAAGACTCGCAGGCCTCGTGCTGGACAAAAACAGTTTTCATGGGTAACAAAGAGAACTAAAAGTACCTAACTTATGTCAAACACCGTATATATTGAATTTAGATGTAACATGGAACTGCAAACCCATGAAGAAAGAGCCAGGTGTAAAAGTGTCTTAAACACATAAAAATTACCCCAAGTTGATCCTAGAGTGAGGGAGAAGAAAACATCAACATCATATTCTTCCTGGCCCATGACTCCAGATGTGATGACTTGCCCTAACAGCTCCTCACACACACACACTAGCACAAAACCACTGACCTTCAGACCCAGGGGAGCAGTGGAAGTGTGAGCATTACACAGGAGAAGAGGGGTAAAAATAGGAACAGTTTATATAATAATTTTAACTGTATTATTACTACTACTACTACTACTACTCTTATTATTATTATTAGTTAAACTTTTTCTGCATGGAAGTATTCTTTCTTTTCCCATAATAATTAGACCTGGATTAATAATGATTCTTGGATTAGGCTAAGATTTCAATTATACTAATAAATTTTTGGCTTTAAACTTACATTGGTTTCCTCTTTGCTCATAAACAAGGTTTTTGACGTAGCAGCAGTGACACTAGGTTCTGAATGATGAGCCGCAGAGTTCCTGGGCGATAAGACCAGTCGGGACGCTGGGGAAAAAACAACCTGGATTTCTTTAAAGCAGTTTTGAAATAGTTGGTATTATTCCACTTGGTAGTGGAATCATAAGAACGTAACAGAGCTAATTAACACACGTTGTATGATAATAAAATGTATACAGTAATTTTACAGGATAGACGGAATCTTGATTTTTACCTCTAGCTATGCCATATTCTAGCTATCCGATGCCAGTAACCATGGGGAAGGAAGCAAGGTGCGAAGCACGAAGCACAGACCTCATTCTGCTCTCGTGTTGCGGAGCAGCCATGAGAGCTGTCAGGCACTCGCAGTTCTCACATTCGGAAAATGCACAGCAGAGGCTCCCATGCCAACCCCCTCTGGGCACTGGTGAGGAGCACACACGACTGCCAAGCAGCAAGGAGTTTTGCCTACAACACTTATTTTTTGGTGGCTGCTGAAATGTTCTTTTCAGTTGTGGATGTCTGGCCAGGAGCTAAACCAGCCCTGAACGTGCACTGGCTCTTTACAGAGCTCCACCTTCCACACAGCTGTCCTGAGAACAGCCCAGATAGACTATAAAGCCAGATCCATCACCTTGGGATGATTTCTTACATAGCATATTCTGGTTTTCCACTGTGTGACACTGAGAATTTTAGTGTAATTCGCTTCAACACATACTTTTTTTTTCTTTGCACTTTAAGTAGAATCCTAAATCATGCTGACATGGGAGACAAATGAGAATAATTCTAATTATCTCTGGGGTTTCAAAGTGGAAAATTAAATTGCAGTGGTAAATATTTGACTTCAGCACTTGCCTCTGGACCCTTTCACCCACTCCATTTTAAAGGTTAACCTATGCTTCATATTTTCACTTCTCTCATTTGATGATGTACTCAGTATCTTTAACTCAAGGAAAATCTTTGGCAAACATAAATGGAACTCTTTGCTGGCTTAATTAGTTCAGCATATTAGCCTTTAATTACAACAATTAATTCTAGTTCCATCATTATTCTTTTTAAAAATCTTTCTTCTTGGATTTCACTGAAAATGGATTTGGAAACAAATGACTATCCCTTTTACATTGTGCCTCAATCGAATAATAATTTAAATTCCCTGCCTTTCAAGGATCTGAAAATATTTTCCGAATGTTGATGCAGAAAACTTAAAATCCTTCACTGATGAGGGGATTACTGTTATCTTCAGATAAAGAAACTGAGGCACAGTGAGGCTAATTACTAGGATTATTTTGTTAGATTGATGTCATCCAAAAACTGGATAAATACTTAGGCCAAACAGAAAATGAGCGTGAGTTGGAGCTGTAGCGGAATTTAAAAACCAGTCACATACAATGGAATAAATCTGTGTGAAATTACTAATTTCCACATCATAAAATTAATTTAACCAGAAATAATTTCTAGGTGATATATATTTGTAGGCATGAGACAAATCCTGTGAATGCCTTGAATATACAACTCTCTATCAAGGCAGCAATATAACTTAAAACTATATTGAAGCAGTATTTGAAAAATGAAGTAATCTAAAACCCATTCAGACCTGTCGATGTTAAGCTCCCTGTTCAATTTCAATTTGAGCCCTAGCACATTCTTGATGATGCAGTTATTAATTACAGGACCAGAAGCTGGTTTTTTCCTCAGGATGCTTACTTCATTCAGTTCACAGAACAGACAATACCAAAGGAATTAAAAAACCCACAAACCTCTTTTTACTATTCTTTAGTTCCCTGTAGGATCCTTCTTGTCCCTCATCCAGGGGATGCAAGGAAGATAAAGGGTCATGCATTTCAGAATCCTTTCAATTTGTCCCCACAGTGCTCTCTCTCTCTCTCCCCCCTTGCCCTGTCCCAGAACTTATCAGACAGGGAAACACTATCCATTCCTTTCACAGATGTGGAATGGAGAAATATTGCGGCTACAATTTGAAAAAAATGGGTAAACATGCCAGTGGTTCAAAGCTATCAAGGCGGTAAGTAGCCCTTCGGCGGTGTTGTACGGGGCAGATCATGGAGCAGACCTTCACATAGCAGGAGGGCCCTGCCCTACGATCCAGACTGTGAAAACAAAGAAGGTGCCTTTCCCCTCTTCCTTTTTAATTTTGGAGACAGTGACACAGACAAGTATTCTATAGAAACTTAATTGAGCATGGTGCTGACACAAATTTATTCTAGTCTCACGTATTGAAAGCTTTAGTCTGCATTCAATGGTAAGGAAAAACCCAGCAAAACCACTATAATACATAAAACAAGAAGCAATTTACTTTGCAATTAGCTTTATACTTTTTTTCTGTGCAATTACTGCAGACGTTTGGATATGAGCTTTCTTCCGTACAAGCAGATTCTAAGTAAAGGCTTTAATTATATGCTAAAAGAAAAATGTTTTCTCCAATGTTTTCTTCTGAAGCCTGCATTGAATACTTAATCCTCTGTTTATGAGAGTAAAATCTGCTGCTATGGATACAGTGAGGTCAATGTTTCAACGTTATTATTTTCCTGTGCTGTGTTAAAGGAGATGGTACGATAATATTTTTGTTTCAACAAAAATATCTTAGAAAGTGTAATGTATTTTAAATTCATATGGAAAGCATTTTATTTAATATTTCCCTTTTAAGTATAGGAATTATAGCAAGGTCCAGACTGGCAGCACTGAAGAAACACCTCATCTGTAATAGAACTTTACTTCCATTTTCACCTGACGCTATAGAGTGTTTTACAAATATTAAATAAGCTGCACAAAAGTCCTATGATAATCCTCAAGGTGACCCCAAAAAGAATAAAAAAGGTTTTATACTTTTTACAAAGCACAAGGAAAGACTGAATAGCTTTTCCAAAAAAGCTGCAATTTTCTACTTGTTCCTTGTAAAAGAAAAATGAGCCATGTCAACTTTTATCTTTCCTGCTTTTTGAAGAACTGCAGAACAATAAATTCTTTTAATTGAGAGAACAATGCTAAGGAATATCTCCTCCAAATTGGCTGTTAGGCAGCTGAGTTACATAACCATTCTAACTCAGTTTTAAAATTCCCTATCAATTACTCAGTCTTTACTTTCTTTTTATCATTGTCTCATAATCCTCCTGATTTTCCTACAACCCACAGCATTACAGAAAAGGCTAGACAAAATTTAAAAAAAAATAGCACAACTTTTAAAACATAACACAAATACATCCAGTCTTCTTTCTTTCGTAGGAATAAGAAAACCTAACCCCATTTCTTCCTGTTACTGATCACGTTTAAGATACTCATTATGCTGAATCTTTTACCTCTCTCTCTCTCCCCCTCCCTAAAAGAAACTTCACTGGTGAACCAGGTAATATTTCTCTGAAAAGCACAAGCCAAGGTAAATCTGCAATTTTCAAACAGCTCAAAATATGTTACCTGACATACAGAGCCTGACTGAAGCGAAAGGGGCTGGCGTTTCAACCCAATTGTTTATTTTTCACAGAAACTGAACCCAGGAATGGTAACTATTAGTCCTGAATTTTCATGGCTACGGAGAAGCATAGCAAGTGATAGGACAAGTCTCACAGGGCTCCTGCCCAAACGTCCTGGGGTTTGTTGCAAACGAATTACTGTAGCTAGCGAAGAAGTGCCTGGCCTTGCGACGTGAGCAAAACCAAGGGGCCACGAACTCCCAGTCCTGAAACTTACTGCACGCTCCCGTGCAGCCTCGTTCAACTAACTCACTTTTTTGTGTCAAATTCCCCATCTCTAACACTAGACAAGCATATTTCTTCAGGTGGCTGTTGTTAGGCCTCATTAGGGTTTCTTCAGTGCTTTAAAATAATATTTGCAACATTGACAACATAAGTAGAGGTTTTGTTAGCATTTTAGAATGATGTCCAAAAATGTTCTATATAGTACCATTTTATTCTTTAAACTGGCTTTTTTTTTCAGACAAATGCTTTGAAATTATGAACGATCATTTTTACCCTCAACAACCTGTGATGTGTTTTTCTTTAACAAAAGATAGAAAAGTCTGAAATGCTAGTTGCCAAATAGAGTGTGAAAGAACAAACTCAGTGATGATTTTAGGCCCCCAAAAAATTCTCAACCTCAAAAATAAAACCAACTTTTGATAACTGCAAAAGCAATTAAAAAATTGCTGATGAGAATAAAACTTTAGGGAAAAAGCAGTATCTATCAGTGAATGCTAGAAGGCTACAAGCCCATTCAGCTTTTCTAAACAATAAGAAATTATTGAAAAGCTAGAAAACCCCCAACAAACTCACTTAATTATAGATGATTGAATAAATCAAATTTTTAATCCTCTTGTTAAGAAACTACTTTTAATACATTTAATTCCTAAAAATGTATTTTAATTTTAAAAACTATTAGTTTTTAAATAATTAGAAATATGCTAAAAATGAAAATTATAAAACACATTAGGAGCCAAATCCTGGTGTGATTAATGAGGTTGTTTCATTAACACCAGAACTTAATTCTAAATCTATAGCACTCAGCAACTGATTAAGTTATTGCAAAAATAGAATTTAGTGAAAGAGAGAAATGATCCAATTGAAAAGACTTTCTTCAGTTATTGTACATCCATTGGCAGGATCAAACATCTCTTCCAAACTCGCTATTGATTGCAAAGTAACATCAAATGGGATCTGAAAAAACAGGGAAAAAAATACCAAATAAATAACTTCATTAAGCTTATGGGTACCAAAAAGTACATATATACAAATAAAATTAAATTAAAGCCAGATTTCTGACCTACAACCAATGACTAAGTTAGAAATACTCATTGCCTCAATATAAATTTGTCGTTAATGACATCTCTTGCAGGAAACTAGTAAAACAGGATTAAGGGGAAGAAATTTCTGTGAACAGTCTTGCTCACAAAGTTTATCCTGATCATCTGTAGGTAAAATGAAGATGTCAGACAAGAGCAGCAAGAACGATTAGTAATTTGGAAGGCTTTTCCCAAGATGAGAAGTTGAAAGAATTGAGCTAACTGTAAAAGGTGAAACAGAGGGCAATGATAAACTGGTTTTTATGTCCGTTGGACGTGGAGAACCATTTAGCTGATTTAGATATTAAGAAAAACTAACTAGAGGAAGAGAAGCTTGGAACAGGCTATCTAGGGAGGTTAATTTTTAATGCAATTATTTTATTTATAAACTTACTTTTAAGATTGGAACTCCCAAACACTATGCTTTATTATCTCCCTCAAGAACATAGTTATTCATTAAATAGCTTTAAAAACAAGCTGGCTGATCAATTTTTATTCTTAAAACATGAACAGTCAAATAATTTTAAATGAATAATTCAATAAAAATACACTTTTTTCACTTAGAAATATAATTCAGTGCTGAATCAAAAGCACCATAAGACACATGAACAGAAAAAAAGAGAATCAAAGAAGAGAAGCTGGAAACATGATAGGAGTTAAAGTGTGACAGCTCAGAGAATGAGAAAACAAATACCACAAATTAGCACTGACTTCGTCCAATTAATTCACAAGGAGACAAGCAACAAAAAAGTGTGTGGTGGGAAAAATGATGTAAAACTACATATAAGCAACGTATCTGTTGCTTTCTCCTGCATGCTTGAAAACAAAGGGAATGTACTACCCTGTGGTATACATTATCCCACTCTGAGCTTTCCACCTGTAGCCAAGAAGACTGGGTAATGCACACATACAACTTCTTTGAAAGTTTGGAAATACTTAGAAATATGCTATACTTAATGAAGTGCTGAACACTCTACAAGTTCTGTTGGCTTCAGAGAAGAATGAAGATACTCAGCATCTTGAAGGACTAGGCTTCACTTGCTCAACCAAATCTTCCATATCTAATAGGATCTTAGTTTGAAGTTTCTATCTGAAACTTTGTGATGAAAAGCCCATTGTTCCACCTGTTGAAACATTTTAGCTTGTGGCATTTAGCCAGAATAAAACAGAGCAGTTAACGTCATGTTCTTACTGGAAGGACACCACTAAGTCTGCTCCCTCGCTTTCATCGTAGACCCAAAGACAGAAGCAGGCAAAGTGAGGAGGGATTCATGAGAATTTAAAACAGGTCCAGGAGTTCGATGTGATTCTAAGGAAGCTCAGCTGTACCTTTCCCTAGGTATCTGTCTAATCTCTCTACCATGGAAGACATTTCAGTGGGACTGTGAGAAGTATAGCTTTGCAGAATGAATGTCTATGTATTTTGATGCATTGAAAAAGCCAGACTGAGTGGTATGAAGGTCTGGGAGTCATCTGAGAGAGACATTCAGGATGGATAACAAGGGGTGGCAAGAATGGTGCAATACGTATAAAAGGGAAGTATGTACTCCTAGGTACCAGACTGCAGGATGCACTGGACAGCATTACAGATTCTCTCTTCTATAATAGGCCACAAGCCAAACTGTTCCCAGATAAAACTCAGGATTCTCTTCTGGTAGGAAGAGCTGCCTGACTGGAAAAGAAGAGTACAGTGGATGCCTTATCCATTATCATTCCGTTGTTAACAACTACAGGCAAGATATTTGAGGATTACTAGGGGGGGTGATATGTTACGGTGGATTCCAAAATCTTCCTTGGAGTTCCTTGAGCCCTGGCAGCTGTGGTCCTCTCCTGATCCTGAGATCAGGAGGGTGGCTGAGAACACTGAACACTACTGCTGCCCGCTACGGGCCAGTTCCCATAGTCTCCTCTGCGATACTGACTACAGCTGGGTAACAAGATGAATACAACAGCATGGACAAAAAAATGGCATGCTATCTCTAAGGACATGGGCAAGGCAGAGAAAGCTAAAGAAAATAGAAGGAAAGCCTGAACAACTGTAAAAACACAGGGATGGAAGGAAATTGCATTTGGCAATTGCATCATGAAACTCACTGGAGTCTGTGTAGACAATGACCAGAGAATGGTGGATAAACCAGATGAATCCATTGTGAGTGAGATTAATTTTTCATACATTTTTCTATGTATAAAAAGGTGACTTTAATGAACAGTGAAGATATGCACAGTTTGTAATCATGCACGTTGGTATTTTATTTGTAAAGATGAAAAAATAAAACCCAAACAGAAAGCCCAACAAATGTATGAGAAAAACATGGGAAGATACTTAGTGGTATAATCCATGCTTCAGTTTAACTGAACAATTGTTTTATTTTAGAAAACAGATTTTTACTATTAATGAGAATAGCATACCTCAGTTAATGGCAAGGACAGGGCTGGAACAACAGACAGCAGTGCTTTGACTTCAGATAAACACCTTTTAGCCATTTCCTAATGGTATAAAACAAGAAAAAACTAATGCTGTACTACCAGTCTCCTCTGATAAGCTAACAGATGGCTTGGCTTTACAAAATTTTTCAGAACAATCAAGTTTTAGGTTATTCTAGTTGAATCCACAGCAAAATAAACCTTAGCTGATGAATATAAATTTTCTGCAACACAAATAGTTGTGTTTGCTGTACAAACACAAGTGCCCAAACCTTGCAGTTTCTACTGAGGCAAAATTGCCCCTGGCTCAGGTATTAAATCCAGTGAGTGAGCATACTTTTGCTACGTGTTTACTGAAGACATTCTAAACAAACACTCTGACGAGATGATATTTATACATGTATAATGCATGGCATGTTAATCTTATTAGTATTCTAAACATTGTTTTTCCAATTACTGACATATATTAATGAAAGTTTGAGCAAAACCCTTCAGGTAATCAGAAACACCCACTAAAGGACAGCTCTGTCTACCCTCCTGAAAGCACTGTGATTGGCCAAAACATCGTTTGTTCTCCAAGCTGGTCAAAATACAGCCTCGTAATAATGGCACAGTGCACAGTTGTCACTGTTTCACAGCATCCATCAGACAAAATGACAGCCTCTACATCATTAATCATTTCATATAATAGATATAAAGAGAATCCTGTCACATGATAAATGTCTCCCACTTTGAAAAAAAAACGTCTATTTTGCCTTGGCATTTATCAAGCAGCAGTTATGCTGTGGCAACATTCTATTCCAATGACATTATCTCAAACAGACCACATGGAAAATTCTGAAATTACCTCTTTTGTGTGTGTATGTGGGGGGAGTTACTTGGTTGCAGACCATATTCAGCCTTGCTAATAAAAAGGAAAGAGGAAGGTGGCATAGAGAAAAATAAATTCACTGCCAGTTTTAGTCCTCTCTCAATAATGTTTTTAGAAGGTTCTTATTTCAGAAACCATCACTGCCTATTTTGCATTTAAGATGTGTAACTGATTTTTAAAAAGCACTTTTGGGTTGATCGCCACGCTAATTTAACACTGTGCCAAGCATTTTCAGATGTAGATTACTATAAATTAGGCATCAATTTTCAAATCTATGTACCTGAAGATGTAGCCTTTATTTTCAAGTGGAAGGTTGAAGATGCCTGATATTTTTGTAGAGTGACAAGCAATATATGAGGAAAAGAAAAAGTTAAATATTAAATGAAAAGTGAAAATATTTCAACATTTCTTGAAAGGGGTGAGGGAATTTTAATCTTTTATGTCTGCCTTCCAAGTTAGCTGTCATTTATTTCCCCAAAACAGACATCTTAAATAAAAGACCATCAGACATATTTAAGAGCAGAACTGTTCTCACTTACTTCTGTTTTTTCATCAAGATGCACTTTTGCAACATTCATTTGGGTTTTTTTTGAAGAAATTATTTTCAAAGTTTCACTTTGTTCCAGAAAACTTATAGATTCTGAAGCTGAAGACAAGCTTTTAGAACTTTGCATCAACATTTCAACTTGCTGCTTCAGATTAGATAATTTCTCCCGTAAAGAAATAATTCTGAAAGAAGACAAGATTTTTCATTATTGCTGTTATAAAACAACAATATTTGTTGTTTAGGTTATAATTAAACTGACCTAGCTTTTATTACCTATTGATTAGGTTCTACATTTTCTTTCATTTCAAGACCGATCTCTTAATTTTACAAAAATTTTCCATTAAAGCAAGTGGAAATATGTAATGCATTAGCTTTTTGCATTAAAAATGGTGAGAAGAAGTATTTTAAGTATGCCTCTATAAGAAAAGATTTTCTCATCCAACCAGCACAAGGTGGGCTGACAAGCTGGGTGGCAGGGGCTGCAACTCTTCTTGGCCTGTTATTCCTTCCCCTCCACCTGCTCAGCAGTTCCAAAAATTCTGGGGCTAGATGAATGACAAGGAAGAAGTAATGAAAAACGCCATAGGATCTAAAATGAAGGGCTGAGTCTGGGGCTACAACTGAGAAAAATTGTTGCATGCTCAGAGTTGTAATATGGGATGGAGAAAGTAACTGATCCAGTGAGAGAATGGGAATAACTGCTGGGACTGCTTCTTAGATTTGCTAGCGTTTTCTTACGTTGCTATGCCAGTGTAATATAATGAGCATGTGTTACACAGTTCTTGAAGAATCAAAACCAAAATGCTAATGTGAAAAATCTCTGAAAAGCGAAAATGAATGCTTTTAAAGACTTACAGCTCTTTGATATTTTGTACTTTATTTTCTCTCATCCTAAATGTTTGACTGATCTTTAATATAGCATGAAATAACAGGATAAAGTCAGTGATTATTTACCTAGCCAACGGAATCCACAAGTGGCCTGAAAATATAGACATTGAACTGAAAGTCTTGATGTTGCTAATCTTGACAGGCTTTGTATTATAAGCATAAAGCAGCAAAACCTGTAAAAGAGATGGAATAGGTAAGCTATAATGCAGTATGGTATAGTGGACCTGAGCTAGTTCAGTGATACTAGATTATAATAACTATCAAATACAATGTACTGATGAAGACTTAGATAACTGACTTTCAAAAAAGGGGGAGCGTGGCCTCATATGAATTTGTACTATACTCAGTTTTTATAGGTGCTAAAGCAATTTAATTATGGATATGATTTATATGGGTTTGAAAATTAATTATACCCTATAGAGTCACCATCAAAATCCCAGTCTTGTCCTGATCCTGGTCAATCAATCCTACTTATGCTCATGTCCGAAGTTCCAACTTCAGGTAGGCTGAACGGAGAGCTTTTACTGAATTTCCAAAGGGCCTATGTAATTAGTTACATTTGCTGTATGGCCTTGTGCACGGCTGTCATGATTTGATTGAAAATATGCTTCCTAGTGGTAGCTGAATATTTTGACTATATGGAGAATGTGAAGAATATGGCATTCATATATTAGTCGCTTTCAAGAGTTGTCTTTGGATCTCTAATGATCTGTAAGGTCATGCTAAAGTAACCTGCAAAACTGTGTTGAAAAGTACATTATTTGCACTAACTTCACAGGGCTTCTATCAGCTTACTAATAGAGATGAGAATGGTCTAATAGAAATTTTGACACTGATCTGTTATGCCAAAAAGTTTGGAGATCGTGGATTTCTATTGCAGCAGCAGAAATTTTACCTACATGCTGTTCTCTTGTTTAAAAATAAAAATTCCATGTCCTAGTCTCTTGCTTCCCTACAGCCCTCCAATCTCTCTCATCTTTCATGTTTAGTCTGATTTCTTAGACGTTTACAAAATCCCATTTTCCCTGTATATGTATATCTTTGCTTTTCCGACAGCCTCCCACCAAACAGTATTGTTTGAATGTATTGGTCAGCTCTAACCAAACTTAACAGAGTGGAGGTCTTAAAGACATCAAGGACCTGCAAAAAGGCATGAATACAACATGACCTGGAAGCTCTATACGGTCAACAAAGTCTTTCTTTGGCCTGCCACCAAAAAACTGTCAGGGCATTCTGTTTGTCCTGCATAGCAAGTTTGTGGCAGAGTAAACATATAGCTCCTTGCTGTCCAGCTTGGCAATTGGCATATGTGTAATCCAATTAAAAAGCTGATCAGTCATAACATAAATATTCATTGGAAATGAGACTTAATTTGTTCCAATACCTAAGGAACTGCTTTGGTGTAGTTATACCTTAGTCTCTGTATAGATTGATGGCTTTGCCAGAGGAGGAATATACCACTGAATGTTAATTTCCTTATTTGAAGCATTTGCTGCCCTACTCTCCGCCTGACTGTCTGCTTCTGCGATGACAGAAACTGGAGAAGCTGTTCTCATATGTGACATCTTTGATGTAATTCCAGTAATTTCAAGAGACATCTGAAACATAAAAGAAATTTTTAAATTGTATTTTTCCTAGTGTAATATGCAAAATCTGTTATAATCTAGTGTCTACTAGAATCAGTATGACTTTCACTCCTGCACAAATATATGCTTATTTAGATAAAGGAGCAATTTTAAAAGGTGTCCATTTTACCAAGTTAAGGCTTTTCAAAGTTCACATGATGAGACATTTCCAAAGGTAATGCAAAGGACCTCTGGGCTGACTTAGAGACACCTACAGCAACAATGATTGTTACATTTGACTTATCTTCCTTATGGCGTTACAGTTTTTGCTAAAAGATATTATTTGACATGCTGACCGTACAAAATTTAGTGCTGAAAAAGTAATTTATCTGCTCTACATATTGATAATTAAAATAGTAATCTGAATGCTAGACTAATGCTTTATTTATGTTTACCTATTTGTTTTCTCATTAGTTATGCAACTAACAAAGGCTGATACCTACTGAAAATTCAGTCACTTCATTTGGGAGGATTTGTCATATGTCATATTTTCTAAAATATATATGGAACATTAGCAGGCTATTCATCAAATAGTTACAGTTTGACCATCATTTACCAGGGAAGCAATGGAGGAATACTGTCAACCAACATTCATTCATGAATAAAAGCCTCTTTTAAAATTGTAAAATATTTTATTTAAAGGTTGAACAGCGCCATACCATTTCTACTTTTTAAAGTGTTACGCGGATCTGCAAAGAACAGAGGAGGCCAAACAGTGACATTTTGGGGAAATGCTGAAGATATTTGAAAAGGCTGTTAGTGTCTCCATCATTGATTCCAAAATGTGGACACCAAAAACAACCACCTGGGGAGTTAGTTCTTTTTTAATTTTGAATGTTCATCACTGAAAAAAATGGGAGAATTTTACCCACTTTATTTTCAGAAAATACAGCTCATGACCGATACAGGGCAGTAAATCCAGGTGAGCAGAAGATGGATTTTTCACAGTGACATAATCTTACTTCATGAAGCCAGTTCCCATCCCACATCAAAATATAGTAGAAGTGAAGATAAAAGATGAAGTCATGCATGCTGAAGTCATGCGTTCGAGCATATGGATACGCCTTCAATATGGCACGGGACAATTAACTGGGGATGATCCATGCCACATAGACTCTGAACACTAAGGCAGTGGTAACAGTGGCCATAACCCACGGTATGCCATGAGGTGTGCATGGATCACCCACCTACTACAAGGATCTTCTACATTCGGGATCTTAGACTTTAGTTTTGGCAATGAATCACCCACTATCCTGCTAGCATGGAGAGTGAATAAAATTATGAGAAAACACATATATGGAGGTGGGAACAACCTAATTTATGCCGTGCCCCTGAACTAGAGCTCTTAAAAGTCCATTTTACGATACATATTTCTTTCTAAAATGTGTGGAATGTTTTCTTTTTCACTGAACTGCATCTTTTATTTACATCATATTGAATCTTTTTGAGGAAGGCTATTACAACTGCTTTTGTCAAACTGGAGGGTTGCTGAATTACATACATAAATATTTATCTATTCAACTTTCTCAAAAGCCTGAAAACAACAAACTGTCTTAGTTAAGTGTTTCCAATCCTACATACTATCATGGAGTGGAATGAAAAACAAGCATGCAAAATGTGATAGGGCACACAATTTTAATTATAGCCTTCTTAATGTAATTTGGATGCTTTGTTCAGCAGAGCTGAAAAAAGCTTCAAAAGTCAAAAATAGAATTACAAAGGCACATGTAAGCAAAACAACCTTGTATATAAAAATCATTCCTTCAAAAATTATATCTATTTGTACTGTTAAAAATCCCAGTATCAATTACAGTAACATTTTTAAAAATAACTTATACAGCCTTTTGAATAGTTAAAGCTTATAAAAATGTTGTGATAAAAATCAATGAAGCTTAGAATTAAAAAAAGTAAGAGCTTTATGCTTGTTAGCTGTCTACAACAGTGAAGCTAACACATGATTATGCAGCTTGCACCTGTCACGAACATGACAGTGAGCTCTGAAGCTTATTATTCTAGGACAGTGTAATACTAATTATGTCAAAAGAAGAGCAGACAGAGTAAAATAATTTTTTATATACAATGGCTGTTATAAATGTCACATACCATATATTTACAATTTATTCAGTGGCACAGTCAGCTCTTTGTTGGGAAATGAGTAATGATATGCTGTCCAACACTGCAGAAAGTTCACCAACTCTAGAAGAGCTACTTTCACAAAAGTATTTTAATTCATTTTGATAAGATAACAAGTTCTTACTCCTCAAGGCTCCCCTGTCTCCCTCTAATACTGAACATAATAGGTAAAAAATAAACTATAGAGAGTAACCTGTCATTTTAATTTTTTAGTATTAGGATAATTATTAATGTGAGAAGTGGGATGGAGAAACTTTGAAGACAATTATTTTTACATTGAATCTTCAAAGACTACTCAATATTCAATACATATGCCATGGCAGTATTCCAATTCAAGATTTCTCTGAGTAATATAGTCTGAGCTGCCTACATTTGAAAGCTCAAATAGGCTGTTCACAAGCCAGAGATCTGAAAAGATTGATTTTCTAGCCAGCTGATAATCAGTGAAAAAAATTGGCACACAAGGCCTTCAACGAATTTTGAGAAAATAAGAATATTTTTTTTTAAATCATGTTTTTATTATAGACCAAATTAACAATATAGAGGCTTGTACATACAAATTACAAAGCAAACATCAGGACATTTTTGGGATGAAACATGGAGATCTACAAGATTAAAAGCCTCAGTCCTACCAAATAACACAGCCAACTTAATTAACTAATAATGAAATCTTCTTAAATATCATTCTGCTTAATCTTCTAGGGTCTAAATACACTGGGCATGGGATAGAGATCATTTTTGCAGGAATGAATAACACCAGGATATTTGCATTTGTTAACTATGTCCTTCACTGCTTGCACAGGATTTTGGTTTTGCACTGAGCCTCTACATAATGAATTTCATTCTTCTACAGTGCTCTCAGAAATATCACCATTGGAACTAGCAAGAATCTGAGCGAAATGCAAGTATAATACATATTTTTGAAACATCAGAAAGAAAACAAGTACCTTTGAAGAATCAGCTGGCCTACCAAGTGGCAATTCTGCCTCATGTAGCTCTTCTGGGAAATTCTCAAGACAACACACTGAATATTCAAACAGATGTTTTTTAAGAAAGGAATGCATTTCTGCTATGCGTAGAACAATCCCCGTGTCAAAAACAGAACTAAAGTGTCCATCTCTTGCAGAAAATGATCCAGGTCCTGAGTTAGGGGCAGCTTTGAAAAGAGACTTTTATTACATCGTCATTTGCCATTAAAAAGTAAAGTTTCTACTCAATACTAATAAATTTTGAAAATATAGTAAAATATGTAAATTGATTCAATATCAAATAAATGCAATCAAATATAATTCTAATAATCATACTGATTGTCCTTAAATATTACTAGGTTATGCTATTTGTATTGCAATTTTTCACTGGAGATCCAATAATGAAACAAGCTCTGTCTAGACATTATAAAGTAGCATAAAACGGGAGGTGCAGTTTTGAGGTTTAGGCACTTAAATTAAGATGTGTAAGCATCAGTATGTTCACTAGATGTCTAAGCACCCACTAGAATGAACGCTTATTTATTCAATACAGTCAAAAGAAGCTCTAACAGCTCTTAAGACGCTAATTTAGACAGCTAGTGGCAGATCAGCTGACTCGCTCCCTAGGCTCCATCATTGGTAACTACAGCTGATATATACATGCACATTTTGACACCTACTTGTAGGTACCTTACTGTCCTTGTAGTTCTGTGGTGAGGTAGAATACTTTCCTTTCATTTAGTGCTGCAAAGAAAAAACCCAACCTCTCTGAAATTATTATTTTCAGTGTTGCTAGGTTTCTCTCTAGGCAGCACCTATATGTACAATCTAGTTCTCTTCTCACCTATCAGGTTGTCACTTGTATATCCAGCAGCTGGCCATCAGATGTAGATGCATAGTATTAGGGCCCTGAAATTAATGGATTCTTGAAAGGCCCTATCTATTACCATCTTTTGTTTACAGTGAAATAAACCAAGTATGTACATAACATCTGGGGGTTTAGTCAAAACACATTCAATAATGCTCAGCCTTCTCATTTACACTACACTCAATTCTCACAAACAGGCCCCCAAACTGAACAGATTTATTTCTGATGTGACTTAAGTCTGATGTATCTAGAAATAAGAATAAATACAGATTATGAATTTAGCAATAGCAATAGCAATTGAGTTTAGAGGGATGTAGTAATAGCAATTAAGTTTAGAGGGATGCTTTTCCTGGTATCATGAAGGCGTATGAATAATTATGAAAAAAGGTAATAATATCTTCACTTACAACATTGTAAACTGACAAATCTTGATTTCATTGAAGACTTTGTCACATTTATACAATTTAAAGGAACTCAAAACGAGACTATCTCAGATGATAACCTTAGAATCTGACACTGTTGGCCCCCAAGAACAATATCTCACCTATGGCAGTTTTCTAGAGGAAGAAAAGATTCATACCAAATAGAAGGTTTGTGTTATAAAGTCTTTTTAAATAACTGTGGTAACGAATTAAGTGAACCCATGTTATTGTCTCTTTCTTCTGGCTGGCCTTGGTGGCAAGACTTTCTGTTCCTTCACTTTGGCTCTGCTTGTCTTGTATTATTTGTTTGTTTTCAGTAGAAGATGCTGTGGGACTTTCAGAGACAACATTGTATCCATCTGCAAATCCAATAACAGTTCAACAATAGACATTAAGTGAATGGTTGCAATTCAAAAGCTTTTTCTGCATTGTGTTGGAATTGACTAATCTGTAACTAAAAATGTAACTTGTGAACCTGGTTATGTTTTTCATAAGAGGAAAATTCTTTCTATTCTGCTTTAATATTAGTTGAACTAGTAAGGAAATTATTTCTCAGATCATGGCCAGGAATCTGACTGGTCCTTGGAAGAAGCTAAAAGGGGCAGAGAGCAAGGTGCTCTCTCTCTCTCTGAGTTTAAATATAGAACCATTATTTCTATACATTGTTCAATAGCAGATATTTACTAAATGGAAACAATACCAGGAGTCATCAGTCATAACTACATCAGTTGAACTTCCCAGTTATATTGACCTGAACTCAGAAGAGTTAGGTACTCTGAAATGTTTACTGTTAGCTTCAATCCAGTCCCTTTTAGATATCAAGTACATTATCAATTAAATGTGTTCTTGACTATGGACTAAGAAAATCTTTTTTTCGGTGCTGCCTGAAAGTTATACTTATGCAAAAAGAGGAAAAAAATATCAGTACAGTTATCACTATATCACTGCTTATATTCAATTTTTTTTTCACTTGATTACTACATGGCTCTCTCAAAAGCCTACACAATTCTTCTGCTCTGTTTCTCATTCCAAATTGAACAAACATTATGTTACAGTAATTCCTAATAGTAAACTTCCAGAAAATAATTATGTGTGCTTCTACAAAATCTGAGTGTCTCCATTATTCCTGATACTTCACTGTCAATTGTAAAAACAGAATTCAGTTAAAATGGCCACATTGTTTATAGATGCAACTTAAACAATGTGTTTCACTAATGGTTTTACAGAAAATATTTAGCATGCTGTGCTGATCATTTCCACTTCAATTTACCTTTATATATTTTGGCCTACTATTGCTTTTCTACATTTTCTATTCTTCTTTGTATTGCCTAACAGAACTATCAGGAGAAACACCTGCTGCATTTGCTAAAAGAAAAAATTATCTGTAATTATAAGCAAATGGAGCTAGTACAAAACAATCAGATTGATGGAAGGTCTTAGTATACAACACTTGTTTTCCTAAACCAACCAAAACACATATGTTTAAACACTGTACAGTAAGTAGACATTGCTCAGCTTTGCCAGCAACTATCAGGCAGAGCAATTCAATCTTTGTCAGTCAATTGGGATGACTGAAATTAAGGCACTGAACCAAAATTTTGTCACTAAATTAATGGTTCCCAGTTTAAAAATAAATATAGATATTTTGCCTTAGTGTTTATATAACATCTGGCGATCATTATTGCAGAATTCCTAGTTTCACTAATTTTTTTTTTAAATCAAAACCTTCCATTTCATCAACTCCATTAGCTGTAAAATAAATGCAGAAGCTGGAAATAAACCAGGCAAAGGCAAAGTTCTACCAAGCTAATGGAAGCATCTCTAAATGATAATCCATTGGACTGGAAAGACAGTGAAAATTTTTTTATTATTCTGACTTTGACTTTTAGAATACAGTACCCAGGCAGATAACTTTGCAAGAGTTTGGGTTTGTTGGTTTTGGTGTTTGGTGGGGGGTTTTTTGGGGGGGGAGGCAGGCAGGGAGAGACAAGCTATTCAACACCAACATGTCTTTACACAATCAAAAGAAAAACTGAAAATCTCCAAGGAAAAGCTAACATACCTAGGGAAAAAATCTGTTCTAAATCAGTGTTTGAAAAAAAAAAAAGTGATGACTGATAGGTGGGCCAAGACCTACTCGAGAAGTCTGGGGAAGTCCTGTGACGAAGGTCCATCTGTTTTTCTAAAAGTATGGCAGTATGTGCAGTTTGTCTTTCTGAGCCACAGTATGCAAACAATGCAGTTTTTCTTAAGCTACTGAACACATACACAGGCTGATATTTAAGACCCATTAGGTCTATTCAATATTTTATACTGCTATGCAGGACAAGGATTTTGGTTTTACTTTCCAAATCTGACTTATAATTTTTCATAAATGAAAATTAGATATTAAATGCATTACTAGATTACATGGCATATATAGTGTATTAGTTATTTAACGTTCTAATATTACTAGGTATAAAGGAATACCAGATAAGAAATCTCTGTACGAAGCAAGAAGATCCATGGAAGCAAATTCTGGGATTTTCTGTTGCACTGCATCCTTCATGCTGTGTTGTTTAACACTTTTCCTTCCAATTAATAGCTGAGAAGCAAGCACAGCTTCACTGACCTAAAAATAGTATTTATTTTATTCAGAGCCAGTTCACTACAATATTTATACAGATTTTAAAATCTGAGAGTAGCAAGATGATGACAAAAAATTAATTACTTGACATACTATATTTTTAAAAGTCAGGAAAATATTCTATTTCTTTCTGACATATGGTACATACTATACTTAAATAAATAATTACTGCTGACAGCTTAATTACTACATAAGTGATTTCAAATCAGATATCCTCACCTGGATGTCACTGATGTCTACCCACATGTCAAATACATATCAGGCAGTGTGCTGTTTTATTTGCACTGAATCAAAGTTGAGGTAAACAGAGTCAGATCTGTCCAAGAGAGATTAAATGCACTACTCGGACAGTGTCCATTTTAATTTCCTCAAATAAGACCCATGCCAGGAATTTCAGGAAACTTTAATTCTTGTCTTGTTTCCGTTGTCTTGTCTGCTTGTATAAGTAGCATAAGATGAAATTAAAAAAAACAAAAAATTACCTCTTCAGAATATTGCACCAACCTGTGTAGCTGCTCTTACTGCAATCCAGGCTTGTACTTTGTAGCCTTCTGATTTCAGAGCCTCCTCAGGAGAAGAGAGTTCTCCAGAAGTGATCTAAAATTATACACCAGTTCATAATTAGGATTCTAAATGTATTATGGTAAAATATATTTTAAAGATAGAAAGAAGTCCTCATACTTACAGAATTATTTTTTTTATTTGCAAGTTGTAAAAATCAGCATTGATTGTAAATCCACGGATTAATTGCTAAAATTGAAAAAAATTATCCAGATCATACTAATTGGCTGCTCCTGTAAAAATTTTCTCAGAGCAGCTCATTCTATGGTCACCACTGTATACAGTTTTGCTATAATTTTCCATTTTCTGGAATCTTAATTACCTCTTTTGTCTTATGTTACACATTACACTTTGAATCTATGGCTTGTAGCCACTTTAATGTGGTTAAAGCCTTTTATATTTCTCATGCTGTCACTCATATTTGTACTGAAAAATTGAAATCTGGTAAAGTATAAATATTACCACTTAAAAAAAAGGTTTGAATGATATGTTTTCTTTGCAAGGTACAAATTAATTAGTACATAACCAGAAATGAAAACACTGTTGGTTCCATTTCTTCCTGTTTTATACAGAAAAATATTTTAATGCAATAAATATAAGAAATAACATCAAACAAGATAAAATTCCACTGCTGTACTATATGATTTCTTTGTGTGATTTTTCTAGTAGGATTTTCAGTATCAGTATGATTTATAAGTCACTGTAAGTAATAGTCTGGCAAGGTGCACCATGTTCTAACAGAAATGTATTTCCTGCTTTGAAGAGGCCACTACCCGAAAGACAGAAAACATACGTTTGATTTGGAAGGCACCATCCTATCTGTCTGTGGCATATCCTCATTATTTGTAGCAAAATGCAAATATAATAGTGCTATTTCAAGGTATGATCTTCTTACTAACCTGTAAGAAACAACACACAGATCAATCAATGTTACTATGAAAGAAAGCATTACAACGATACAATCCAACTCCTGCATAAGACTAGCCAGACAGCCTCACCAAATAAAACATTTATCCACCCCTCACCACCTACTTAAAGTGTATCTTCTTTCAGAAAGCCATGGGATCCTGTTTTAAAGTTTTAATGAGTCTAAAACATCCCTATGGTATGCTTAACAAATAACACATTGATTTAAGAGTATGTCAGATATAATTTGCATTATGTGCAACAAATGTTCCATAAATAAATTGCAAACGTTTAGTAAGAAAACAGTAATTCTGCAAGGGAAGTGATCTTTCTGTACAGAATCTGTATGGGTTCCTCTTGCTTCAAGTTAAGGTATATATCCATTGTCCTGGTTTCCCTGAAACATGGGTGGCTGAATTTGGATATGGGTCTTCAGTCAAACTCTTCCAACAATCAGCAAAATTACCCACGATGACCAAAACAGTCTTTTGTTTCTTCATTGGCCTCAGCTGAGGAACCTTCTCAGTTCTGAGTTCTGTACCAGAATACTCTACATTTTCAGACAGACTGTGCTCACCAATTCCTGTTCTCCTCCTATACTTCCCTCTCCTTTCAGTTATTTTTACAGTAGTATTATAAACCAGGCAAAAATCATAGACTCAGAATTATAGAATAGTTTGTGTTGGAAGAGACCTCTAAAGGTCATCTAGTCCAACCCCCCTGCAATGAGCAGGGACATCTTCAACTAGATCAGGTTGCTCAGAGCCCCGTCCAACCTGACCTTGAATGTTTCCAGGGATGGGGCATCTACTGCCTCTCTGGGCAACCTGTTCCCGTGCTTCACCATCCTCAGTGTAAAAAATTTCTTCCTTTTATCTAGTCTAAATCTACCCCCTTTTCATTTAAAACCATTACGCCTTGTTCTACTGCTACAAGCCCTATTAAAAAGTTTGTCCCCATCTTTCTTACAAGCCCCCTTTAAGTACTGACAGGCTGCAATAAGGTCTCCCCAAAGCCACCTCTTCTCTAGGCTGAACAACCCCAACTCTCTCAGCCTGTCCTCATAGGAGAGATGTCCCATCCCTGTGATCATTTTCATGGCCCTCCTCTGGACCTGCTCCAACAGGTCCACATCTTTCCTGTACTGAGGACTCCAGAGCTGGACGCAGTACTCCAGGTGTGGGGTCCCACCAGAGCGGAGTAGAGGGGCAGAATTACTTCCCGCGACCTGCTGAAAATCACTGTATCTGGAGAACTTCTCCAACATTTCTATTCACTATAGGTTTATAACAGTCTTTTTATGCAGGCTCCTCCTGGCTCTGTAGATCTCTCCAGCTCTCCCCTATGAATTAGCTGTCCTAAGCATAGCAACAAACTCCTGCTCATGCAGTTACTATTCTGGACAGAGTCATATTGCACAGAGTTGACTGCTTATATAGTACAATAAATTCCAGCTTTGATATGATTTGTGTAAAGCAAAATACAAAAGTCAAAGAGTGCTGTACAGTTCAAGATAGGGCAAACTAAGTGGGAAGTTGGCAAGTTCTACACTTAGTTGGTGACAATTTAGTTAAATTTCTAGTCTTGCTAACAAAAAAGGATTTGAGACATCAAGAAACAACTTTAATTAAACAATCCCATAGATATCAGAGGGCTTGTATAAAGGGGATTGGGATGTTTAGTTCTCTAAAATAAAAAAGCCAAGGTCCATCGATGTTGCTGTACATTCTTTTAGAAAGACGGTAGCAAATTAAATAAGAGTGTAGCAAATTAAACTTGCAAAACGTCACCACAGTCCATTTCTGTACTATCTCCCATCATGCTGACTGCTTGTAGAGGTTTATAACTATGCTACTGCTTCTGTGTTCAGAGTTCTGGTTCATTAACTTAAGTAACAGAATACCCAAACAAGCAAGGTAAATTGCTGCCTTTACACTGTCTGTAACCAGGCATGGCACATTATTCATTTAGACTGGTCAAGAAACTAAAAAAAACAATAAAGTCCAATGTATCAGAGCTGCTTGACAGAATTTATTGGCTGGCTTGGCTCAGCTCTTCAGGCATCTTCTATGCTGATAACTGATGCCAAAGTCACTGTCCTGGTATCTGTTACAAACACATTTCCTATGCTCCTTCTGCCTCTGTTCTTCTGACTGTTTCTGGCTGCTAACCTTTTCAAGCTGGATTTCTATTATGTGGAAGGGGGCAGACCACGGCTCATCTTCTGAAATATGAATAAAACCCCTGTTTAATTGATAGCTCTGTTCCTGGTTTTGATAGAGAGGGTACAAATTTGGAAACAGAACAGAAAGCTGTAACTTTGTACACTCTAAAATATGCTTTTAAATGTTCTCAGCCTTTGTTTTAAATAAGAGAATAAATATACAGTAGCTCTTCTATACTGCAATAGAAGAAAACTCTCCAAAACATAAAAGACACTTCATAATAGAAGTCCCACATGAAATCTCAGAAAACTGTAAAAAAAATATATTCATGTGTGATTAAAATTATTTTGAAAGGTATATAGCTAGTTTCTTACTCAAATTTTTGGTCATGTTGCTGGCTGAGTTTTATAGCTTCCAACAGGGCTTCAACAGCTCGAGATGACTTGTTGCCTGCTTCAGTTATCTGGCGTTCTACCTTACCTAAGAAAGAAATACAGAAAGCAGATTTGCAAGATTTTACTTTTTTTTTTTCCTGTAAGACCCAGCCTGTTTTTCCCTCCATGAAAGTTGAACAACATAGTGCATTATCTATTCTCTTCCTGATAAGCAAAAACTTTTCCAGATTTTTTAAAATGTAATGCACAATGCTTGTATAGCAAATTACTTCATAGAGTAGCTAAAAAAATCAAAATTTGGAATCATAATGACTCCTAACGTGTAGTGATCCTACCTAGAAGACCACTGTACATGGAGGAGTTCATGCACAGGCACAGGCTTGTTCTGTGCTGCGCTATGCTGCACATACAGTGTGGCCTTCAGGCCTGTGTTGTGCTGTGCACAACCCTTAGCCACAGGATAAATATAGCCAGCTAGCTGTAAGAGCCTGTTGGCAGCATCTTCTCAGTACCAGTGATTACACCACCTGCCCTTTCTGTAAAAGTGCAGCAAGAAGTTCTTATGTGAATATGCTTTTTGTTTGACAGTAGAAATGATGAATAAAATTGTTTTCTTTTAAGAAAATCCTCTAACATCTCAAAAGACCAAAATGAGGCAACCTTTCCACAGACAGGATCTGCGTGTTGTGCTACACCCTGATTGGAAACCCATTCAATACTGCATAACTTGGGGTTCTCAGCATCTGAAGGGACATAAGATTATTTACACTATCTTACCTCTTTTTCTTTATAGTGTTAATTCCAATAAATGGCATTTTAAGAGAAACTTTACAGAGTCTGAGTGCCTTTCTGGCTGGGATCCTAACAAACCAACACCTCCTGGTGCAAAACATAATGGCACTGTCCTGGTTTCGGCTGGGATAGAGTTAATTGTCTTCCTAGTAGCTGGTACAGTGCTGTGTTTTGGATTTAGGATGAGAATAATGTTGGTAACACACCGATGTTTTAGTTGTTGCTGAGTAGTGCTTACACTAGTCAAGGACTTTTCAGCTGCCCATGCTCTACCGACTGAGAAGGCTGGAGGTGCACAAGAAGCTGGGAGGGGGCACAGCCAGGACAGCTGACCCAAACTGGCCAAAGGGACATTCCATACCATGTGATGTCATGCCCAGTATATAAACTGGGGGAAGGCTGGCCGGGGGGGGCCGCTGCTCGCGGACTGGCTGGGCGTCGGTCAGCAGGTGGTGAGCAATTGCATTGTGCATCACTTGCTTTGCATATTCTTTATTATTATTATTGCTGTTGTTGTTGTTGTTGTTATAATATTTCAATTATTAAACTGTTTTTATCTCAACCCATGAATTTTCTCACTTTTACCCTTCCAATTCTCTCCCCCATCCCACACAGAGTGAGCGGCTGCGTGGTGCTCAGTTGCCGGCTGAGGTTAAACCACAACAGCCACTAAAATCCAAATGCATGCAAACACTGTGTAATTCATTAGCTTTGTTAAATTATTTAGAAATACTTTCTGAGCCTCTCATCCTCTTTAGTTCAGACCAATGCAAAGAAGCTAATTAGCTTTCTACGGTGTCTGTAGTCTCATTGGCTACACCCTTTGATCCCTGATAACATAGAGGTGGGAGAAGTTCTACTGCGGTTCTGAAATTATTTGTTGCATAATGCATCCTGAACTATGCTGGTGTGATACTAAACAGAGGAAAGAGATCTGCAGCTAGACAGGGTGAAAAATATCCAAATCTGTTCTATTTTTACAGTAAAATGTCTCCATTTTAAGAGAGGCCACATGCATAACATTGACTAGGAAGGCAATCATGATGTACAAACGGTTTTATTTACCTATCTGAAAAAGAAGTTCAGCTTCCATATCTGATTTTTTTGTTGCAGATGCTCTGCAAAGCTTCAATGCTGATTCTAAATGTTTGAGAGCATGTAGCCATTGCAGTGGATCTCCTCTTGCAGGTGTACAAGCTACTTTTTCAGCTAATGTGTGTCCTAAGGAAAAAAAAAAAGACAGTCCTTAATAAATTATTTAATAGAAAACCAATTTATGCAAAAAGAAGCAACTTCCTTAGAACAAATGCTGTTACGTATTTACTGTTACAATCCAATTCTCAAAAATCAGAGTGATTAATGGATATAAATACAGAACTATAATGTTGTTTAACTACTTTAGGATGCCACTGAGGTTTACCTAGGCCATCCAAAAGAAGCTCAGGCTATACAAATCAACCCTTTCACAAACTATCTGGAAAGACTAGCAGTAAGCCACTTCATAACTTTTTATTTCACATGGTAGTTGTAGGCAAAACCTAAACCTCTCTGAGCATTTCCAAATTCCCAAATTCCTTTTGTACTAACCGGTTCTAAAGGCTTCTTTGATGTATTGCATACCTCTTACACTGTACTCGCCAATATTCATCTGTATTCATAGGCTCTTCCTAAAAATGTGGATTCAGAAACAGGAACTGGTCAAACATGGCCGTTACTATGAGTGAGTCTGGCCATGCCTGCACTGACAAGCAGTAAAGCACAGTAAGAGTGGATCTCTAGAGCAAACCAGCTGGTGTTGAACACCTGGCAGTCACAGCAGATGCATTTCAGAGTGCTTACTTTGGACTATCTCTATTCTAGTCCTAAGGGCTGAATACAAAGTAGTGGTTGAGGTGCATCGATGTGCTCCTGGAGCACATCTTCCTGAAAAAGAATCCAGAACACTCTGAGGCTGCTCCACAATGCAAACCAGAGTGCAGTGAGTGACTTCTAGATTTTCTAGTCCTTTATAAGTCAGTTATACACCAAATTAAGTTTAGCAGAAGGAACATGGAGACAATATCCTTTTCCCTATATTTGCTATACAGCAACAAATCTCAGACAGATTTAAAGGTCATCTGTTACTATTCAGCATATTTCCAAGTTTCTATATAAAGAAAAGTTATCAAGAAAAGTTGTTAAATTAAAGGGTGAAAACAATAACAGATACTATTTGTTTTATTGGGATAGAGAATCATCGCTATTATCCCATATGATTTGTTATCATTAGTTAGTTCCCATATAACTACTTCCAGAGAGATGGAACATATACAGGAAGTTTTCACAGAATGAATGCTTTGTACAGAAGTTGGAAAAGTATTGTTAACTTCCACTTAAAAAAATTGAAGTTCCCATTAGTTTCATCAAGCTATAACATTAATGTTTAAGCCTTTGCTGATTATAGTTGCTGTAAGAATTGTACCTTGCTTATACACATTGCACAGAGCCAAACAGGCATCTACTGTTGGTTTTCAAAATATTTTATTTGTACATGAAAACAATTGATTTACTACATTCACTTCTGATGCATCAGTTTATCTGCTGTTGCATAAAATATGAATGAAAATGGATGAAAATTAAAAATAATAATGACTTGCATTTTTCTTACCGATTCTCATTTTGACTTGGGCTAGCAAGTTGATATGTGGCAAGTAGATATTTTTTGTAGGTAGGACCAGGCAAGTCAATGTACTGTCTTCTATTTGGCGTTCAATGGGTTCTCCACAAACAAAAATCTATGAAAAGAGTATGCTTTGTAAAATCAAGTTGCAGACAGCAAGTTAAATAGTAGTTTGAAAAAGTAAATAAGTTAGGTATTGCAAAACCCTGGAACTCAAATGTGTCTTGTAAAAGAGCACTAGAAAAGGGCTTGATACTCCCAAACTCCTTTACTTCAGTTTGTGATTGTCTTCTTTGCAGAGGAGTTTGGTAGCAAATGAACAATTTCAGTGAACTCTTGATCAAATTCATTAATGTTAGGCTTTGGTTTCTAAAAGCTCAAAATTTGACTCCCTCAAATCAGTCTTTAAGAAATAGATCTCCCAAGTAATCTGAGCCCTAGAAAGAAACTGTCATTTCTACAACGAAATCTGACATCCAACAAAGTCCAGAAAAGAAAAAGAAAATAACATGTACAGACCAGTCCAACTTTTCATTCATGGAAATAAGGCAATGGGGACATGCTGTAAACTGTTAAGTCTCTTGAAGGCTAGCAAGTCTCACAAGCGTAAGTCTGAGTCTAAAGTGATTCATATGACTCTTTATTACTTGGGGGAACAAATATTTAAATGGATTAAACTTCTGTATTAGGAAATATGAGGAAAGAATTTTATCCAAAAGCTTTTCTTTATAAACTGTATCAAGAACGGGTAGAGACTGCAGAAGTGCATATCTATTTTTGGATCACCAAATAGGTAAAGGGTTTATTACTATACATTCCTCTCACAGATTTCATGTCTTTAGATTTTTTTTTTTAATTGTCTATTTAAATTTTTACCTGGAAATTATTTCTTCATACTGATTTTAACAATCTGTCAATCTAAAACATCATAAACAATATGCTACTTTATATAGATTCTCTAATTCAAATTATTCTAAGTTAAGATAAAAAGCTAAATTCTTGAACTTGGATGCTCAAGAGTTAGGAATTTTATGAGATGTACATCCTCCCTGAGGTGCTGAGTACAAACATATCTCTCAGTTCAAATGGGAAAAGTGAGTGTTCCACCTCTCTTTAAAAGTCAAACTACCTATTTCAATTTTCACATATGAATGTACATTTTGCAAGTATTCAATATTTTTAAATTGTTTGAAGATACCAGACTGCATACATGAGTATGCATGATGAGTATGCATAAATAAGTTTGGTAAGATGAATTACTTCTTTACACTATGGAATCTAGGGAAAATTGAAGTGATCAGTGAATAGGAATAGCCCTTTTTTTATAAATTGTTAAAATAGCTTCTAGAATAGATAATTAAGATTCTTGGAAGGATTTGCAAATACTGTGTAAATCACCAACATATACTCACTGCTTTAATGGTAAGCTCATGTGCCAAAATTAGTAAGTTTAATGGTTCCACTGTAGAACAGCAATGTTCTGTATCCTCTACTGTTTGCAGCGTTAGTATGTCTGCCAGCAGAAGCATACTTTTCACAAGAGTCAAAGAAGCTGGAGGGGAAATAAATGTATCCTCTTGGAGTAAACTGATGATATTCTGTTTGGACATAGACAACATAAACCAAAGTAGTTACTACTTTTGCTGTCTATTTACGAGGACAAATCACACAAAGTGAAAAAAAAACCTATTTTAGAGGCACTATTTCAAGCTTATTTAATGCTGGCATCAGCTGTTCTGACTACATGAAAAATGCATCAAAGGAAAGTGAACAGTTTCTCCTTTGTGCTCAAACCTGCAAAAGAAGTTTAATGCCTGCCACGGGACGTTTTTCTTGCAGGTCAAGAATAGCAGCTTGCACCATCATTTCAGCCTGAGTTTCAATATCACCAAAGGCTTCTGCCTCTAGTATTACTTCTTTTATCACAGTTCTGCGTTCAGCCACATCATTTTCTAAAATAAGAGAATATATGAATAGTAAAAATACAATAGAAAAGACTTTACAGTATCTTCTACCATTCTTAAGAAGTCACTTCCACACTAAAAAGTTACCGAACATCTGACATCATAGATTCCACATTTACCATTTCATCGATTCTGTGCCAAATTTACTTTAAAAAGAAAGAAAAACCACTTAGTTTTTAAACTGCACTTGGTTTAAGTTCATCCAAATACATTCTTTATATGTAAGCCACCAGCATAAATAATTAGATTTTGTAGACCAGATGTCATTCTCACCCATAAAACATATTCTACATATTCAAAAACCTGATCTTAGTTATCATTCCAAAATACTAACAGCCTTCACAGGAATTATCTAGAAGAGATTAAATAAGAGTTTGGCTACAGACCTAGACTGTGATTTTGATGCTTAAGTGAGCATCAGAGTTTATACTAAGTTCATAGAACTAAGGAATGAAAAACATTTTATTCATAATCAAACTGCAATAAATGTATTTTGTAGTATCTCACAAATTCTTTAAAAAAATAATCTGGAACATTTTTAGGAGATATATAGGAACATTTCATTTATTGGAGATCTAAAAAGTGAAAAAAAACTTCCGACTTTTAAAACTAGAAGTATGTAGCAACAGTTTTTTTTAAAACAAGCATACTTATTTAACTTAATTACACTAGAACATTTGAAACTTTTTCACACACAAGTCATTTATCAAAAGATAAGGATCATTAAATGAACATTAATATAATGCTTTGTGTTTACATGCTCTAGGGAGAGATTGTACTCAGAAATATATTTTCCTTTTTGCATTGGATGAATTTAATACAAATAATTGCTCAGTGATAATACAACCCCAGTATTAATGTTAATATTTTTTTATTTTTGAATAAGAATTGTGTCTGAATAGGCTCATTTGCCCATTATACTCCAAAAGTCTAAACCAAAAAAGAGTAATACCTTCCATATCACCAACGCCATGTATCTGTCTTACTAGTGCAGTCACTAACATTGTACGACACCTTAGCCACAGATGTACACTCATATGATCTTGTGCTGTTATACTGTGAGGCATTCGAACATCTTCAACACAAGAGTCCTAAAAATTTCCAAAAGCAAGAGAAATGTTACTTTCCGAGTCAACTACTTTACTACAAACAAAGCAACAGGGCAACATCTGTCTAAAATAAATCAAATCAATACAAATATGTTACAAATAATAACATAATTATAACCAGAAGTTTATTTGAACTTTATTTTTTAACAACAGGAGTCCATTTATTATTTAACTTTTAATCTATAGAAAAAAAAGAATTGTAATAAGTGGAAATTAAACCAGCTTTTATGGGAGAGTCCATAAATATATCTATATACTGTATGTGTAATGGAGAATAATTCTAACAGTTTGGATTTTATTCCTCTCAAACAGGAACATTACACACAACTCTAAGGCACATAACAGTCTAATTGTAGAGCTGGATCAACATCAAGTTCTGGTACCTCATTAGTGACTAGAAAGAAATTTTTAATTTTTTATTTCTAGTTTTTAGTGTTTCTGGTGATTAGAAATAAATATTCATGTAATATAGTACTGGAAGTGTTTGGGAGAATTCTCAGCCCAACTCCCTGTGCCATCTTCACATATTATAACCAGTCTTTCTATTACTAAAGTTCTACAGTCCATATTCTAAAGATTTGTTCCAGCAAGCAATAAATGGACACTGCACCACCTGTGTTTTACTTATACAAAAAATAATCATGAATGGCTTGGATTGATGCAAATGAGGAAAAAAAATAGCCATAACTCAGTTACTGGCTACAGGGCAGTCCTAAGAAAATGTAGGAGCAAGTGCAGAAAGACAGGAGACCCTGATACGCAACACAGACAGAGAATAATTACACTGCGTGCAAGAAAGTCCACCCTCATTATGCATGTTACAAAACCTGGCCTCACTGCCCAATTGCTCTGTCCACGTGAGTCAGTTTGAGTGACTGTGTGGTGTATTACCAATAGGTTTTGTGCATTGGCATTCCAAAGTATAGGTCAGTATCCGCATGCGTTAGACAACAGAAGTCACTGAAATCTCACTAAATTTGGAACACAGCAATGATGTGAACTGGTCTGTTTGGCTCTTTGAAAGAGGATACTCTGAAGTAGGTTTTCAATCAAAAAACCTAAGATACCTTAACTGAATAATACAAGATTTTCACCTGACAGCTATTTTTTCCACTTTCTGTTTGCCTGGGGTTTTTTAAACAAACAGAGATTTTCAATGCTGGCATCTGAGAGTATACAAATAAAAACTGCAATTCCTAACCATACACAAATTAAAATGATGATTATAGACATATTGAATATACTATAGGCAAGCAGGTAACTGAAGCATGTCATACATCATTTTCTCTCCAGATTAATGGTAACAACGTAATACAGATGACTGCTATGTTCTAGTATTCTGAAAATCACCCAACACTTAATACAAGACTTCATATACTAAGAAACAATACTTTAAAACAAATATCCACACATACCGAACACTCCCTTTCATCCTTTTCTTCTGGAAAATGTGTCACTTGCATCCTAAAAATTTTTGCATCTTGGAGAAGTCGAATTGCAGAGAAAGCCAAAGCAACACTGTGATACAGAACAGTATTATTAAAAATACTAATTATATTAGCCATTGTATGCTTTTATTATAATAGATACTTCATTTCTGACTACATCAGAGATGTCTATCAGCAGTTATCAATTTTTGCTTCAGTAGAACAAAAAAATAGCACTCAGAGTGTATTCTGAACTTGTAGGCACTGCAGTATGAAAGTGAGAAAACAGCAGTAAGAGAAAAAGTTTTGCCAATAACAGACATAACCTGATAATAATGGATAAGCCAAGATATATCATATTCTGTTGGAGCAATCAAAACAGAACTCCACTATAACTTTCAGTTACACATATCTGTCTTCAGGGATGGGCTGTTAGAAATTAGAAGATGCAAAAATACTGAAAATGGCAAAATATATTAGGAGAGTTCTCCATCTTATCCACAACGAGAGAGAGAAGAAAACACCTTCCTCCTTAAAGCCTTTCCAGACTATATGTTAATCCTTCTGTTAAATCCACATGACTCAGAGGATCTTAGTAAACAACATCAACCAGAAATTGAGCCAGGTGCCACCCCGGCAAAACCTCGTAAGCAGTCACATGACATTGAGTCTGCTGCCCCCTGCCCCAAGCATAAATCCTTTTCTGGAGTTCACTCCAACCAGCATCTAGAAAGATACAGACACTATTAGGACTGGTGCAGCATTCAACCCCACATTTCAAAAAATTGTGAGTTGGAATCCCAAAATATTGTCAGGTTTCTTAAAATATTAACTATTTTTTTCCTTTTTATGCTGTCTTTTTAAAGCTTTCAGATACACTGTTCAATTTTCATTACATCTATAGAAATGTATATCTAGAACAGCAGACTTTGTGAATACTATTATTTTCATGATATGAAGACACTTGCAAAACCAACACAGTGAGATCTTTTTCACAACAGGATTTGTTGCCCAAAGAACACACTACTCAAAATGTTCTGAGAACTGCCAAAACCAATGTCTCATGGTATTAGTTTTCCATCTCTAATCGTACAGTTTCCCCTACATCTGTAGATCTCTACTTTCCGACCTCTTCTCTAAAACATTTCTAGTTTGTTTTGGGTTTTTTTTTTTTTACAATTCTCTTATTCTCTACCCACTTAAACATATTTTCCTAATGATGCATAAGTACCTGAGGGTATCCCTAGCTCACCTCTTAAAGTTTTTTCAGCAGGTTAATTGTTAAAAATGTATCCAGAATTCTCATCTATGCTGTCTTTTTATATAGAGAGACTCTCTTTACATAGAGACTGGCTGCTATGAAGCAAAAGAAAAAAAAAAATTATGAACACCTTAAGCCCTTTTTAGACTGCCAGAACACTGTGAAGAGCTTTTAATGAAAGAGAGACTCAGGCTCTGTGTGAATTTACTGCTTTTGAGAAGTTCTAGATTAATTGTTGTAAAGGCAAAGTTCTTGATTCATGCACAAAGAAGTCAGAACAAGAGCAACAGTACTCTGAAATTACTCACATTATTCTGCCAACATGTATCTAACCACAGGATGGATAACCTCCAGAGATAAGAGGGTAGTTAAAGTCTTCTTGTCATTTCTGATTCTATCCTGCTTGCTGTTTTTGTGATGCAGAGCTGGATGAATTACACCAATTCATCACAAATAGACCCCAAAGTAACAATGAGAACCAAAACTGTTAATATCTTGCCTTTCAGCTCTCAGAATTCAATCCTTATGAATCTCCTTCATCATCCCTTTACCTCAGTTTTATTCAACAAAATGAAACCAGAATAAATCAACGCTGAATTTGATGATAACCTTCTTTCTAACAATGGCAAAGAAGAAACAGAATGTGCTTATAAAAGCAAAAGAGACAGCAACAATAATGTAATGAAATATCCTGATTCGTTTTCTTTCTTTTTATGAAGAATAGTTTTCCCCTGAAACCAGGCATCAAAGTTAAATTACAGCAAAAGCTGACATTTTTCAGAACATTGCTTGAGATGCTATGGCTAACATTTCTCAAATAAGTTGGAGAAGGTGCAGCACCCAAGAGTATACACAGGCTTTTAAGGAATATTAACCTAACTTCCTGAGCACCACTGCCTCCAGTTAACTGCTGTTGCAACATTTAGCAATTCTGAAAATGAGGCCATTTTTACCTACATGCTTACATATAAATTTCATGAGTAAAATGTAAATGACAAGCCCAAAGGTTCATATATGTATTGTTTCAAGCATTAATGTATTCACATAAGCAGACAAGCACATATTTGGGTAATTAGTAACCTCACATACTTAGGGGGGACACCATGTAAGTACTCTCCTTGAGATCAATGGAATTAGTCCTATACATAAACTTATTCTGAGGCATAAGGTTTTTGCAAGACAGAGGCTGTAATGTAGAAGCTTCCCTTGATGAAATTTTTGTGACCCTCTTCTGCTGTCAACGAGAGTGATGTGTCTATATACTTCCCTTGACAAAATACACATGCTTTTATCAGCTGAATCAGAAAGTGACAAGATGATCAAAATAGGAAAGTACAGCTGACTACAACAATTTCACCACTAAGTAATTTCGACAAAGGAAAAAAATGATTAATTTCTGTAATATCATGCAAAGTTTGATTTCTAGGCTAGCAGGCAGGAAACATTCAGCTGTCTGAAGGAATGTTTCATTTGTATCTGAGGCAGATATATCAGCAGTTTCCATGGATGGCAGTGCAATAAAATTGTAAAATAGGTTAAAAAACCCCAAACCCTTGCTTTGCTTGTTGTTGGTGGTTTTTTTCCTGCTATCTGACCACTATCAATATATAAGGCCCATTAAACACCCACCAAAAATTTGAGAGTCCCAAAAAACGATCTATAAAATGCTTGACATCCATTGGAACCCTTGATACTCTAAAAAAGTTTTTTCAGTCTGAGATAAGTTATAAGCCAAGAGAGAAACTACACTCTAGGATATAACTGCATGTCAAAAAGAAGGGTCCTGCACTGAAAATGG